TCTGAGGCATAAAAGCCTTCAGGGGGAAATATAATTCCATACAGTTTGTAAATATAAACTGTAGTTGTAAAGGATGCTTTATCCCTCACATTAAGATGAGCTCAGTTTGACTGACAACAAAGATTACTTTAATTCATTTATGATTGCGTAAACCATCCTAAACTAGTGCCGCCCTGAGCAGCCGCTCATATGGCCCATAACAACAGCTCCCTGGTTTAAATGAACACAATGCAGACTTCATATCGTTACAGAAGCTCATTAAAAACTATTTGGTAACTGAAATTGACTTTTGCTCCTTCTGCTTTAATTAAAGAAATAAAAGTTTAACAGAAAACCTGGTTACTCTTTAAAACTATATTTTAAAAGTTAAATAAAGAAACACCAGCTGAGCTTAGAAACACTGAGTCACAGAACAAAAACAGCTCTGACCTTAAGCATGACACAAGATACCCACTCACTGCGCAAATCTATTTAAGGATATTTTTTCCACAACTAGTGCAAATTTAGTTAACAAGGAGTTTTTATTCTATTAAAAGATAAAAAAAAAAAAAACTTTTCAAATCAGACAAAAATACTGAAGAAAATTCCCCTTTCATGGTGGAGGTATGAGAAAAACCAGCAGGTCAGCACAGAGCAGCATAGTGGGGCTTCGTCCTTCAAACGCCTTCTCTCTTGATTAAAAACAGCAGTTTGCTCAGGAGGTCTGAACATTAGAAACACATTTCTCTTATTTTTAATGCAGAAAATAAGATCAGATGCATAAATCTGAAAGTTCCTCCAGCGAAAGAGGCCAACGAATGACTCCTGAAGTATGATTGTGCAATGCCCCACACATCAGGACGTTGACGCTTGAAATGATCCTGAATTAGATTTCAGGTTTAGTCATATTATGTCACATGGGAGTATCTAAAATTAGATGATCAGTCAAAAAATATCCATCCATCTCTTCCTTCTGGTGATGAGTAAATAGTTCTGATGAAATCAAGGAATTTATAACTTCTGTTTGACTTTGACTTCATCCACAGGCTGATCTAAGCCACAAACAATTCAGGTTTTTTTACTTCCTCCTCTGCTTTTGTTGTTATTAATATGATCTGCTGGTTACAGTTTTGCAAAGGGCTTAAATGTGAATGCTTATTTGGATTTCAAATTGGAATAAAGAAAAATTAAAAACTCTTGAGAAATAAATTAAATGACATCCATCAATATGGAATCTATATATATATATCCATCCATCTTCTTCAGCTTATCCGGGGTCGGGTTGCGGGAGTAGCAGCTTCAGTAGGGAGGCCCAGACGTCCCCTTTCCCGGCAATGTGGACCGAGCTCTGACACCGGTCAGCCTAACAGCCCTTATTAAAGGGCCCGGTACCCCATACTCCTTGGGTACCCCCCATAGGATCCACCGAGGGACTCGGTCGAATGCCTTCTCCAGATCCACAAAACCCATGTAGACTGGTTGGGCAAACTCCCATGCACCCTCCAGGATCCTGCTGAAATGGTAAATGTCCTGTACTTATATAGCGCCTTTATTCAAGTCATGAGACTTGACCAAAGCGCTTTACACTACATTCATTCACCCATTCACGCACACACTGATGGTGGCAAGCTACATTGTAGCCACAGCTGCCCTGGGGCTCTCTTACAGAAGCAGGGCTGCCGTACACTGGAGCCACCGGGCCCTCTGACCACCATCAGTAGACAATGCAGGTGAAGTGTCTTGCCCAAGGACACAACGACAATGAAAGTCGGAGCCGGGGCTTGAACCGTCAATCCTTCGATTTCAGGACAAACTCCTACACCCAAAGCCACTGTCGCCCCAGCTGAGGGTGTAGTGCTGATCCAATGTTTCACAGCCAGGACGAAAACTGCACTGCTAATCCTGAATCCGAGATTCGACTATGCGACGGACCCTTCTTTCCAGAGTCCTGCAATAGACCTTACCAGGAAGGCTTAAGAGTGTGATTCTTCTGTAGATGGAACACACCCTCCGGTCCCCCTTTTTAAAAAGGAGGACCACCACCCCAGTCTGCCAATCCAGGAGAACTCCCCTTGATGTCCACACATTTCGCGTTAACCAACACAGCCCGCCAACATCCAGAGTCTTAAGTGATCAGGGCGAATCTCATCCGCCCCTGAAGCTTTGCCACCGAGGGGCTTTTTAACCAGCTCACTGACCTCAGCACCAGAGATTGGAGAACCCGACCCAGAGCCCCCAGGCTCTGCTTCCTCAATGGAAGACGTGTTAGTGGGATTAAGGAGGTCTTCGAAAAACTCCGCCCACTGACACACAATGTCCCAAGACGAGGTCAGCAGCACACCACCCCCACTATAAATAGTGTTGGTACTGCACTGCGTCCCCCTCCTGAGACGCCAGATTGTGGAACAGAATCGCTTAGAAGCCGTACGGAAGTCTTTCACCACCTCTACAAACTATCACGCCCGAGTTCTTGCCTCAGCGACCAGCTGAGCCATCTGCCGCTTTGACTGCCGGCGCACATCAGCTGTTTCTGGAGTCTAGCTCAATAAAGCCTCGAAAACGCTGGTGTCCACCGGCTTGTTCGAGGGTTGCAGCCGCGATATGCACCGACAAGCTTGCAGCCACAGCTTCGATTAGCCGCCTCAGCAATGGAGGCAACTCAATGTCCCCCACCTCCCTCAGAACTTGTTCAAAGCTCTCCCGGAGGCGGGACCTCACGACTCCTGATCGGGAGGTGGTCATGAGAGACTGATCGCCCCTCGTTACCCCCTGTACACTACATGACGCATGATCAGGTTGAAAGTCGGCCCGGTCGAAAAATTCTCGCATGACTGGAAAATCGTCTAGAAAATCGCACTCGGCTTAAGAGGTAGGCTTCTCTTTGTCTGGTCCCTCCCCTAGGACCTTTGGTGACAGCATAGCTCCTAAGGTCATTGGGACACCCAGACCCCTGGACCCTGATGAGGTGGGAGCCCAGGGGGAGTATATATAATTACATTTATTTACAGAGAAAAGGAAGTCCCAGTTGGCCTTAAATAACCTCTATTATGATAAACTAGAATAAGTTGACAGGAAAAAAAATTAATGAAGCATAAGTTCCCAGAATATAAACCAGAGGTCAAGCTCTTGAGATCTGACAAAATTGTTGGTTCAGCTTTAAAATGCAGAAGAGGAAAAATAAGCAAAAGACAAAACCAAAAAAAAAAAGAGAAGTCAGTTCATTAAAACTGCATCTTAACTTAAATGGATATAAAAACCATAACGATCTGCATATTAGATGTGTCTTTTATTCTGTTTTGTATCACGTTAATCACATGGTTAATTTATTCCAGTAATATAATGAAGTAGTGGAAAGTATAAAATCGGTGTTAACTTGGTCAAACTTAGAAAAAAACTATTTGTCCCTATAAATTCAACATAAACAGGCTTGAATCTTGTTACTTTATTATTTCTAGAAAGAAAAATGCTTATTTATGTTTCTAAAAGTGTAAAGATTACATGATTGATTCCATTTCCAACCAATACTAAAACAGATTGAGTAATTTTTGGATGTGCATTAAATTATCAATCACATGTTGCAATATTTTCAAAGTGCATTTTAAAAACAAGATTCTCTTGACTGTTAACGTCCTTCCAGACCGGCAGAAATATATCTTTGCTCCGCACTCCAGAGGAAAGCCCGGCCCCAAAAGTGAAGAGAATGAAAATAATAAAATTAACCTGAAAAGAAGAAATTTGAGAAATAAATCTTAAAATATCAAATCCGTAAATAAATGATTTATATTTTAAAAAGGTACCCTCAAAATCCTTTTTTGATTGAGAAAATAGTCAAAGTTTAATTTCTGGATTACCTTTTCTTCAAATTTCCATTTACCAAACATGTTGCTTAGAAGAATGAAGGAGCAAAATTACCTCCAAAGAATAGATGTGAATCTAGAAAAAGAGGATCGGAATCAGGAACAAGAAACTCAACACAACCAGCAAGCAAACAGCTAGAACTATAGGCTAACATGCATGGAGCGCGTTTTTTGGATGTGATCAACCATTAAATGGCTGTTTTCAGTGGATCTCAGTCCCATAAATTGGCTTCAGACTGCGCCTCCTCTACCTTCTAGTAGGTTTCTTATTGCTGATAATATGCAATTGGCATTGAGGGTGAGAGGACGTTAAGAATCTAGAATACTGACTGGTTTCTAACAGCTGGGGAGGTGAGTGAATGGTGAGAGAAATCAGTGGAACGTGGTGCAGCAAGGGGAGAAACTATTGAAAAAAGTGAACAAAAACAAAATGGGACTCAGTCAGAAATCTTAAATACTAAAGATATAACTAGATAAACCAATTATTAGAGAAAAGAGGACCAGAAGAAGCTAAGAATCATAAAACAAAGAGTAAAACAGGAATAGATGTTTGATACTACGAACACAAAGACCCAGAGGTCAGGATTCCTTCTTTTACCTTAAATCTACATCAGCTGAAGCAAAAACAATCCACTGGATTTTGCTTCCAAGTTTGAAGACGTTTCGCTTCCCATCCAGGAAGCTTTTCAATTCAAAAGTTTCCTGGATGGGAACTGAAACGTCTTCAAACTTGTCCAGTGGATTGTTTTAAATTTTTTTTTGGAATGACTATGACTTGGATGACAGAGAACCTTCACCAGCAACTTCCTGTTAAATTTTTTATTGTAGCTTTAAAATAAAGTTTAAGATTTGCTTCTTAAACAGGACCTAAAAAGAATAAACTGCATTTTTTTTCGTTTTAGTTTTTTTGCACGTCATCAGAATGTCTGAGAGCGGCACTCTCAGCGTAACGCCTGCCCTCTTTTCCTCTCTGACTTCTTAGCTTGTTTCCTGTGCAGCAGCCAGTCGCTCTGCATAACAACATGGCAATAAGCAGGAAGGACAGCTTCCTCTGGGGCCGAGGTATGGTGATGCTTTCAACTTTTTAAAACTTTTAAAATATACATTTCGGACGCGGTGTAGAGGATTCTTTCCCCACTTCTGGGGTCTCTCTGCTGGTGATGATGGTTGTAGTTTTGACAGATGCTCTTTCAGATGTAGTTATGGAAACTTTTCTTTGTATTTTGTCATTTTAATTGAACTTTTTGGATGCTGGTTCAATCCCTCATCAAATGAGGATGAGCTGTTCTCCTGCTCCCTGCCTCATTTAGGGAAGGTTTCTATTTGCAGCCTTTCCCACTGACCTGCTGTCTAACTGCTGGATGATGAGGCTTAGGATGCAGGCTGGGCACTGAGAACAAGTGTTGGTGTGAGGAAGGTTGATGAACATCCATTTAATGCTTCACCATTCTGTTAATGCTCCTACAGCTCCTCCTAAACTCCCACTGGCTGAGAGGAGGCAGAGCGACAGGAGCTACAATCTTAACGACATTCAGGTAGTCAATCTTTTCATCAAATTTTATCAAAACATCGGCACACATCCACAGCTTGCTGCATATTCATGAAAAAAGTCTATTTCTTATCGTTTTTTTGTGATATAAAAGGATCGGAGGGTCATTTTATAATAACTTAGGAGATGTGAAAACTAAACCTGTGTTATTTCTGCTTCGTCTCCCTGTTTCTCCAAGAAGCTAAAACTGGAGATGGCCAACGATGCACCTGACTCCAGCAACCCTGACCGGAAGCAGCGCAGGTGAGGATGACACCAGTTTGACACCAGTTCAGCCTTTGGTTTGCTTGATGCCTCCTGATTCTGCCGGCTGTTGGTCATTCTGGTTTCAAAGAGGCTGTCTTTCCCAGCAGCTCGTTGCATCAGATAATGAAACCAGTCTTTGCTCACTATGCATCTGCTTCATCTATTTTAATTCACTATTAAGGGCTTTTAGGCACTTCCTTTTCTTTACTAAGCAGCAGTATTTCCTCTGAGAAAAAAATAGCACTGAGGCAGCAAAAAAATCCAGAGTGAAATGGACAGAAATAACTTAATGAAACCGAGAGTTTTTAAGTATAAAATTAATTAAAGTCACATCATTACACATGGAAAAACCTCTGATCTGTTCTTGCTTTTATGGCTTCACAGTTGGTATATTAAAGGAGACTCTGAATCCCTGTTTTTACAAACTAATTCATAGAAAATGTGCAAAAAAAAAAGTATTTTTAACCATATATTTTATTCTTCCTCTTTCTTATTCGCGCACTCAGAGGGTGTCAGTAAACTCTGCATTTAGAAAAACATCTAATCTACCATAGTTTGTCCTTCCGCTCCACCAAAACCCAACACCCACCGTCTTACAAAGTAAACCTCAAAATACAGAGAAAACGAAAGAGTTTGATGATCCAGTCGGCGCCTGAAGGAGATCATCTTTAACTTGAAATTGGAGTTTAAACCAGTGAGGTTTAAAACAGCAGCGCAGAGTTTAGAAAACACACCTAATGAACACTGATACCTACTGTTTCACTTAGCTGCATGAAACTCAGTTTTATGCAGCTGCATTTATACATTTTTACATACTGCTGATATTTATAGCAACTGCAACAACATCTCATTTTTAAACATGTAATAACTTGTTTATATCAATGCTTGCAGCAAAAGTGATGTGAGGAACAGGAAGTTTCTGAGGGGGAAAAAGAAATTCAACATGGATCCAGAAGTGGTGAGCTTCCATTAGTTTTTTTTCTGCACATTTATCATCTGTAAAGATCATAACATGACGGAATAAAACATTCCTGTGATACGACTCATCCTCATGTCGTCCTGTAATCCCTGATCTAGGTTTGGAGGATGACGGTTTGTGCAAAATCTAACATTTTTGGCACAAAAAAAAAATGAGCGTATTGGTTTATCAACCTTTAAAAAAAACATAAATAATGGATTTTCTGTTTTTAGTCGTTTGATTTTATTTGGATTCATTGGTTTGCAGCGAACTAAAGGTGGCAGCTCAAACTCTGAATGCAGGTTTGAAGGAAGTTTGGGGTTAAAGTGCAAACAATGAGCGTGCAGCCACATAGGCAGAGCATGAGCACTAACGAGAAAAACCACATCCTGTTCCCTAAAGTGACGCAGAGGCGTCGCCTCACGAATTAAACCGAGGCCCCTGGCAATGCGGCCAAGTCTCAGAAGGGGTGGGCGGATGAGAGGCTCCGACTTCTCTGCACGGAGTGTCATTAAGTGGCTTTAATTTGGAGAACCCATCATCATGAGTTCACTCTTACGGTGGAGGGTCATGTTCTGAAGCACTGCATCAAATCAAGCATATACTTTAGCTGCTTGACTAATAACAGCAGTGAGTCAAAAGGTGAAGGAGGAAGCCTTCTCAGATGTGAGATATAACTGACTAACAGCTGGCTGATAAATAGACACCCACACATGCATTCTGGTCTAAAGATTGTAAAAGTAAACTTTTTCTCATCCGTTCTCCTGCTGAAGGGTATCTGTTACCTGATTGAACATGGCTTCCTTGAATGGCGGGCAGAGTCGGTGGCAGAGTTCCTCTACAAGGAGGAGGGGCTGAATAAGACCGCCATCGGCAACTTCCTGGGAGAAAGGTACATGGAAAAAACCAGAGAGCGAGTCTGGAGGAGAGACGAGAAAACAGGAAGCTCTCTAGATTACAAAGAAGAGATTAAAATACAGAAATCTGCTCATCTGCTGAGAAATGATAAGAAGCAAACAATCAAGACGATCAAAATGTAGGATTTAATTAAAAAAACTAAAGGGAAAAAATAAAGAAAAAAATTGCCTGGTTGTCAGAAGTTACTCTAAATGAAATAAGATTCAAGTGAAACACATTTTAAATTTAATTACAAAAGAAACAAAATCAAAAATTATCTACAATAAATACATACATATTAATATCAAGATTGCAATAATAAACCAAAGTATGAACTGATAAATGAATAAAAGTCATCAATCACCAAGACATTTACCCTCAGTGCTCTATCAGCAAACAGTATATGTTAGATAAATAAATCATAAATGAATGAATACATAAACAAATAAAAAACTGAAACTCAATTTTAACATAGTTGAAGAAAGAAATCAATAATTAAAATAAAATTCAGAAAACACAAACTCCCTGCTTAAACTGTCAGATTTTAAGCTTTTTTTTTTTTTTGACAAAAGAATATTTTTATTTGCTTTGTTGGTAACAACCAACTTCTTAGATTTTATATAAATCTCTTTTGGACTAATAAGTCAGATAATTTTCTGTTTATTATTGTTATTGTTATGCAATTGGTTTCGGTATATCTCTATTTGACTTAGTTGTTCAAACCCGTAGGAACTTAAACGTATAGTGGAGGATTTTTTAAAACAGCCGCCCTCACTACTTAATAAAAATGCACATGCAGAACCCTGTACCCGCTCCAGAGAGGGAACGCCTATTCACCGTGTGAGAGAGCGTGCACGAGCCCAACGAGCCATCCTCGCTTTACTAGCAGCGATGTGAAATGGATTTCTCCAAATAGCCAATCTTTACCCGTCGAGTAGAAACTTCAGTGGGAAGCTCGACCTTTGCTTTCAGTGTTTCATCGCGTGAAAGAATCTCCCAAAAACACTCTTGTAATGTTTCTCTCTTCTGAGGCCTTTTTCTTCTTGTCATACGCTTCATAGATACTTTTTCTCTTAAGACAAATATACGCCTGAAAGTGCGTGTGTGCAAAAAAAAAAAAGTGGTGACGACCTCACTTAAACATATCACCAGACTGATTGACAATTAGGTGGTCCAGTTATTTAGATTATCCACCCGGAAAAGGAATATCCTCCACTATACCTTTAGAGGGAAAATAGAAGGACATCTTGTGTCCACCTTTGGGACAGGAGCAAAAAATGGGCGGAGTTACTTCAGTAGGATTTAGTCCCGCTTGTCATTATTCTAAATACTGTCATTAATTTCCTTAAATTCGCTTCTCTCTTTTTAAAGTTGTCAGATTTTAAGCTATTAAGAATTTTTTTGCTGTATTTTCATTGTCTTTCTGATCTAATCTCTTTCTTAAATGTTGCGCAGGGAGGAAATGCATCTAGAGATTCTGAAGGAGTTTGTGGGCCTGCATGAGTTCTCCGACTTGAATCTAGTCCAGGCACTGAGGTTCGTCAAATCCAGGCTGAGATGTTGTTTTATCTTTAGTCTGTTGATTTTAAGCAAAAGCTGCAATAAATCTGTATTTTTACCAGGATTTGTTTTTCTTTTCCCCCTTTTTAAAATCTGTTCTCTAAAACAGGCAGTTTCTGTGGAGCTTTCGCCTCCCAGGTGAAGCCCAGAAGATTGACAGGATGATGGAGGCTTTTGCAACTCGCTACTGCGACTGCAACCCAGGGGTCTTCCAATCCACAGGTAAGAGGCCGGTTAATGGTGTCCAGTTAAAAAAGATTACAGCTGCTTTGATTTTATCTTCTTTACAAGAAAGAAAACAGAACACTGAACTGCAGAAAAATGACTCATCCCCCCTTCTCCAATCTGAGCTAATTGATTCTTCTCCAAAACTCCTCTGCCTCTTGCTGCATTTGCAGAAAGCCATTATTTTTAATGGACTAGCTCGGCTCTGCAGCTGAGGCAGAGACAACAAAGCCCGGCTGAGGGGAAGCTAAGTTGTGGTTTTCTGTTGCAGACACCTGCTACATCCTGTCTTTTTCCATCATCATGCTCAACACGAGTCTGCACAACCCCAACGTGAAAGACAAGCCCAGCCTGCAGCGGTTCGTGGCCATGAACAGAGGCATCAACAACGACAAAGAGCTGCCCTTCGAACTGCTCTCGGTCAGCTGGTTTGAATTCTTTTATGGCTCCATCAGAATCAAATAGTTTTGAAAAAAAGAAAAGCTCAACCATAATGAAAAAGAGCAAATTAAACTAAATGCTAAACAATGTGTGGAGAAAAAAACTGAGCACACATCTTTCCAACCCTGAAACATGGTGGTGCAAGTATCATGCTGTGGGGATGTTTTTCATTAGCCTGGACCTATGGGTTGGTCTACCCAGGAACCAACCAGGATCCTGTAGAACAGGTTCTCCTAAAGCTTCAGCCTTATGGAGAGAATCATAGTTTTTATTTTCTAGATCAGGGGTTCCCAGGCTGGGGGTCGAGAACACCGGGGGCTCCTGACCCCCACAAGATGGCTTTCACAATTATTGTAATGGGATTCCTTAGGTATACTGACTGCCAAAATATATCATAAAATACATAAATATCACTGCACTGTGAAATAAATAAATTTAAAACTTATTCATTTAGTTTTGCAGTCACAATAAAAATATGAAATATACGATTAAATTTTAAATGCACAATTAAATGTTTAAATGTTCCACTAGATCATTAAAAACCTTTACAATTATTTATCAAATAATTAAAATGAAAGAAATACATTCATTTTAAAATAAATATAATGACTTCACCGTGTATGAATAAACAATATAGATGGAATATTGTTAAAGATCAAAGGATGAACATTTTTTTAACTGTCCCAAAAGTTTGTATTAAATAATTATGACATATTAAGATTGAATCACTGCTTAGTTTAAATTATATGGTTGGCATATGCTAATAATATCTATCCGTTTCCTTTTTTGTTTTTCCCCTAATTTCCCTTTGGGATTATTAGATTATTGTTGATTTATATCAAATACAATGTTTTCTTCATAGCTTTCCAGCTTAGGAAAGCAATGACAGCTGTCCTCAGATTTTCAGAATAAAGCGTGACGCTTCACTGCCTGATGTGAAGTCCTGGAGACATCGATGTCACAAATGCGGATCTAACTGATGGGGGACGGAGGGCTGTTAGTTTATTATCATTTAGGCATCCATTAGAATATATATCATTTTTTTAAAAAGAAAAGTTTAATTATTTTTTTTTCTTTTTATATTTTCAAAACTGGCTTTTCGGATGTCATAACTATCTTAAAATGTTGCATTTGTTGTGTTAGGTTGGGATTGTGTCAGTGCACTTTTAAGAGAGCCCAAGGTCACAGTTTATTTATTAATTCACTTTTAAATTCACAATTTTTTTTATTGTTGTTTCGCAAAAAACAAAAAAGCAAAAAAAAAAAGGGAATAATAAATTAATACAACATATATAATGCAGACACAACAGGCAAGTTAAGGGGAAAAAATAAATGAATAAACCAAACATGTTTTTGTTATAATTTGGTCCGTGAGACAATAAACAAAAACATTTAATGAATTTATGACGTGTTACTACTGTCCCAGGTAGGAGGATGTTTGCAAAGTTGTTTTTTTTTTCCTGTTCCTTGGTCATCATATTTTGAGCAGTCAGCTTTAAGTTTAGTATATAAATAAATAATTCCCATAGGCCAAATAGCTTAAAAGAGAAAAAGGTTTCAACCGTCTGCAGTCTCCCCTTCGTGTCGTACTAATAACAGAGATGAAGTGTTGTGGTTAAAGGATGAAACTCAATTTGTACCAAAATGAGGCTTTAAGGTACCGAGAGTTTAACCCACTTCCTGTTTCCTCCCCAGAAACTGTATGCAAGCATCCGCAGCGAGCCCTTCAAGATCCCAGAGGACGATGGGAACGACCTCACGCTGACGTTCTTCAACCCGGACCGAGAGGGCTGGCTCCTCAAAATGGGTGAGACGCCAAAGTTACCCTGCAGCAAACTGAGTGGTTCAAGCTCCTTCCTGCTTCAGTCTGTTTCAAACTCCTCTTTGTTTTCATCCAAGGTGGACGTATAAAAACGTGGAAGAGACGTTGGTTCATTTTGACAGACAGCTGTCTGTACTACTTCCAGTACACCACGGTAAATTTATTTCCCCCCATGAGGCAAACAAATAAAAAAGACAGCAGCATCAAAAACCCTCCTCTTCCTTTGTCTTACACCTGTTTTGTCCTGCAGGATAAAGACCCGATCGGGATCATCCCTCTGGAGAATCTTTGCGTCAGGAAGCTGCAGGATTCCAGCAAACCGGTAGAGACTCTCTCAGTTTCGCACCTTAACTATCTGCTGTCACAGATTGTGCTGATGCACACAATAGCTGCTAGATTTCTCACGCAAGTTCTCCAAACGCTGAGTCAGACGGCTGTCAAGTAAACAGAAAACATATGCCTCTTTTTAACAGTATTGTCTGGAGTTATATAACGCCAAAGGACAGAAGATCAAGGCCTGCAAGACGGAGAACAAAGGCAGAGTGGTGCAGGGTAAACACCAGTCTTATAAGCTGAATGCAGCCAGCGAAGAGGAAAGGGACGACTGGATAGATGCCATCAGGTGAGAGCCTCTCTGGTCCTGTTTGCTATTACCGTGGAAAACAGACAACGCTGTCAAAACTCATTACTCCCTTTCAAATTACACCTGGCTTTGCTTTTTTATTCAGGGATTTTAGTTTATTTCCATATCAAACATAGATAGTTTGAGTTTGTTTATTGAAAATTGTGTGGAAAAGTTATTAAATTATGAATGAACTGCATGAAGCCACACCTTTTGGTTAATTAAGCCTTATCCATGCCTGATTATTGTCACTTATGCTGAATCAAGAAATAATTGCAATAGGATCTGACAGACAGCATGAAGTAGGCAAAAAAAACCTGACCTAGAGAAATCAAGAACAGATGAGAATGATTTTACATTTAAAGAAAGGTGTCACAGAATAGAGTTACTATTGATTACTAACCATAATTAGTAGTAATTACATAATAATTATCTTAGCACCAAAACACGGTGGTGGTAGTGTGGTGATCTGGGCCCGAGGAATCTCACAGGAGTAGATACTGAGTTAGAAATCCTGACAATAAAGTTTGTTCATTCTTTCTTCACTTGAAGCTTTAAGCTAACTTTGGTGATACAGCAGGACAAAAAAACTGGAATATCTACGTCTAAATGATAGCGTTGCACAGATACCAGCACTAAAATGGTGGTATCAGTATTAGTGAGTACCAACCAATAGGGCACCGATACCATTTTGAGAGCCAAAAGTTTATTCAACTATTGTCATCCATTCCAGGTAGGCAATAAAAGGTTCTACTGGATTCACTTTAAATTAGTCTTTTTCCTGTTTCACAAAGGGAGGCAGCAGCTTGACATGAAGCCATGATGGAAATTATTTTACATCCAAGTAGTCTGAAGTTCTTCATAGATACACACACACATCAATTTCAAACAGACAGTATCGGTATCAGGGCCAAAAAATGGCATTGGAGCAACACTACTAAATGACTCAGAAATAGATCAATACTTTAGGGTATAATTCATCTAATTAAAATAAAATACAAATAAATTAATCCAACTGTTTTTTTCTCCAGGGCGAGCATCACCAAGGATCCGTTTTACGACCTGGTTATGATGCGGAAGAGGAAGCTTATCAGCAACACTTCCTCGTAGGAGTGAAACTGCAGACAGCGGAGGGTCGTGCACGATAAAGCAACACAATCGTCAACAAGTTCACCATGCAGCGTTTAAGGAAATGGATGACTTTGCAAGTCGCACTTGAGTTGGCAAACAAAGGAAAAGTGAACTGAATTTGACTCGCAGTGCAAACGGGTTTATTTCATTTCTACGAAAATGCAAGTATGGCAGCTTCATCTTCAAAAACTGACAATACTTGGAAGTAGGGCGGAAGTAGAGTTACAGGCTTGACAGCATTAGCAGTGTTTCGTTAAACTGGGCTCATTAAAGATGAACGGTGAAGCAACTGACACAAAGCAACAACAAAGATAGAATGCAGAACGGCCAGAAGTAGGAGCTGAATAACTAGAAGAGGCACTGAAAGATGGCTCTCAAAAGAATGCATGGCTGCAATGAGACAAACACATTTCTTTAGAGATCCTGAAATTCCGCCTTAAAACTGAAAAATCCTTTGTTTCCTAAGCAAGAAACAAATTAGGCAAAAGAAGACGTATAACAAAGGGATTTAAAATAAATATAGCAGCATATCATCTGCATAGAAGTAGATGGGAAACAAAAATGAACACAGTAGTAAAAAAAAGATGCGTAAATATTGTATAGATGAGAAATTACTAAAGTTTAGAACAGAAAGTACAAATAATGAAGCTCAATAACTACAAAGAAGATATGCAACATGGGATAAAGTGCCAAGAGTCACAGAAAACTCCCAGAATAAGAGCAAAATGTAGTAAATGTATGTATGAGTGTGTGTGTGTGTGTGTGTGTGTGTGGGTCTGTGTGCACCTGTCTAGCCCTCAGAGTGAGGACCATTTTTTTTTTATTTCACCATCGAATCGAGGGCCAGTTGAGGACATTTTGCTGGTCCTCACAAGCTATTTTGCTAATGGTTAGTTTTAGGGCTAAAGTGTCAATTGTGTTAGGGTTAAGGTGAGGTATGCATTGTTAATGGTTAGGTTTAGGGTTAGCTTCAAGGTCAGTGCATAGAAAAGGTTGTAAATGAATTAAAAATCAATGGGAGTCAACATATAGTCCTCACTACATATAGCAGAATGAGTGTGTGGGTGTGTTTGTGTGGGGGGAGAGAATGGACACAGAAGTAACATCCATCCAGACATATTTGAAAAGATGGCCTCCTACAAGACAAACACCAGGGATGTCCTTTTATTGTCAAGTGTAAAAAAACAACATCTAATTTATTCAGTCAGGGAAGTGTAGCATTTTTTTTTTATGTAAATGTAAAAAAATTGTAAGATTTATAAACTTTAGAAGCTAAACAAAAGTTGTGCTTTATATTTTTCTTAACGTGTTTAATTTATAGATCTTTGAATGAATGTACAGTTTATTGTTTTTATCTCTAATGTGTAATGATTCTAATTTTGCAGAATAAAGTATATTGTTTAAAGCTTCTGCAGTTGATTTCTCACCACTAGATGGCGCCACATCTCCTCCTTTCACTTGAATCAGGACATTAAAACTGAGAAATTAAACTTACTGAGATGAACCAAGTAGCATTTACTGGGAAAGTGATCTGAAGGATAAGTAGTAGAAGAAAACACCCCAGCAAATATAAAACTATTTCACTGCTCTGATAATCACAGCATTTATTTTCTTCACCTTCAAATCTTGCAGCTTTTATCTATTTGCTGCCTGACAGATTTAATGTTTGATTCTTTTCTTATCTTGGTCTTTAGAATCTTTTCGATAAAAGAAAAAAAAATACTCTGCACATATTTCTTGGTATTGCAACATGTTTTCCAAAGGACTTTGTAGCTTGGATCAAGTGCAGATGAATAGACCGACTGGTGTCCTCTTGGATGTTTTTCCCCTCATGGACTTTAAAGGACAATCCTGATTTGTTTCTGCTGTAAAGCTAAAAAAAAAAACATGTTGATGCAACTTCGGTGCTAAAAGGAAAAAACCTCTATATTATATCTTATTTTCAGCTTTTTTTTAATTGTCATTACACTGTTACAAGTACAGAGCAACGAAATTCACTCTCTGCATTTAACCCATGCCCTTGGGGAGCAGAGGGCTGCCATTGTGTGGCTCCCGGGGTGCAGGGTGGGGTTAAGGGTCTTGCTCAGGGACCCAGAGAGGCAGTCTGTGGGAGTGGGGCTTGAACTCAGAACCTCAGGATTCCAAGCACAATGCTCTCCAGTGTTTTTCAACCCTGGTCCTCAAGGAACCCTGCTCTGCATGTTTTGGATGTTTCTGAGGTTCAGCACAACTGATTCAGGTGACTGCAGTTCGGGCAATATTATAGAGCTCCCAAAATGGTGATTTTTGGTTATGAACACATAAAATTGTAGCAGAACCTGGAGCTGAAATTGGTAACTGGCATGCCAATTAAAAAGAAACACATATTGAGGTAAACAGCAGTTGCAGGGGACTCAAACCGGTTCCAGAAAGGGTCGTATGGCTGCAGGTTTCTGGAACTGGTTTGAGACCGCTGATTAAAGGGTCCAAGAAAGATGAGCAACTCTTCTGGCTGTTTTGTTTTGTCCTCAAGAAATGATGAGAGAAGAAATGTTTCAACAATGAAGAACCTGCCCAAAAGTCTCAAAAAGCCCAAACCTGCTCAAAAGACTTACTATATTTTTTATTTCATTTTTTCCTGCATCTGGGCAGCTGCTATTGGTACTTTTTTCAGCACCTAAAACTACCAGGAATTAAAGCAGTCGTCAATAAGCTCCCACCTCATACTGAGGTCTTTGCTTCTTTTCTTTCTCTGCCCTATCAGATAAAATTCATAGTTTAACAACGGTACGGCCTGGTTAGTTTGGAAAGCTCTCATAATCTGAAAGCAGCTACCCCCAGTGGTCTCTCGCTAAGATACAAGTTTGCTTAATGACTCAAAACAATCAAATGTAAAACAGACTTTGTGGCGGGTAAACACTATAAAACAGTAATGTATGCTAGGAATGCACGATATTGGGATTTTGGCCGATATCCGATATTTTAAAACTCATGTAGCCGATAACCGATATCGATACCGATGTTAAAGCTGGACAAAAATAAGTCGTCATTGAAAATAGCAGTTT